AAACAATTTCTCATTTATAAAACTTCAAAACGAGCCTCAAAGACAGAAAAACTCTCATCTTTCATTTACTTGAACCTCAAAATATCAAAAAAGGTTCAAACGTTGAAGTCAAATTTTTTTTTTTTCATATCAATTTTATCAAATCGGTAAGTATATTTATGCATGTTGAATTTCTTTTTCAGTAAATTAGTATACGTTTAAATAGAGAAAATTTATTTCGACATAGTAATAGTTAGTATTAATTTTTTTTAGCAGATCTTACGTATAAAAAAAAATTTTGAACAGATCTACGGAAAACAGAAAAGCAGTTGGCTGTTTGACTGTTTTAACAGCCAAATAGTCACTTGACCGTTGGCTGTTAAACAGCCAACAGTTGACTTTAACAGTCGATTGTCTGTTGACAGCAGACTGTTGGCACTGATTTTTGTTGGTAATGCATTATTTTTTCTTATAATTAATAAATGAAGTTGATTAAATCTATTTCCTCGTGCAGATATGATAATCCCCGTATGTTATTTAGGTGATTTTGAATTGAATGAAAATAATCGGTGGGAATGAAGATGGACGAGTGACATACATGGTTGTATTGCAATTCCCATAACAGAGAGTACACCATACTTAGAATTGTACTACGATTTGCAAAATAAGCTGAATGTCGATCAATCTCAATACGATATGCAATTGAGATATCTATTCAACGGTTATGGGGATTTATCCATTCCGATGCCACCGCTATTTGTTACTAATGATACTGAATTAAATTATCTATTAGAATTGAATAAAATGCATCGGACTCCGACTATTCTTAGTGTGACTTTAATTACAAAGGATGTTATCGAAGGTGAACGCGAAGATTCAGATAGGCGCGGATAACAATGATCGAGATTTTTGGGAGACAGTGGAGATAGTTCCTATGGATAATGTGGTTATTCCTGAGACAGTTACTTCTGATCGTGATGTCGCTGTTACGCGCAGAATACCGTCGACGGTTGAAGACAATGAGAATATAAACGAGTTTACAAATGAGAATTTGATTGCTTTATCCCGACAAAGATATGAGTCGGGTGGGAGCTCACAGGTTGGAACAAGTGGACCGTCTTCCAATTCTTCCCGTGTGGCTCTCGATTATGAGGACTTGTATGTCGAGCAACTATTTGAAACCAAAAAAGATTTGCAGGAAGCTGTGCACCGACTGACATTAAAATATAACTTTGAATTCAAGGTAAAGAAATCAAACAAGTCATTATTGACAGTTGCCTACGTCGAAGGTAGTTGCAATTAGCGCTTGAGAGCAACTAAGATGGACACGAATGAGTGCTTCGTAATTTTCAAGTACTCACAGGAACATACTTGCGAAGTGGAAATTCTTCGAAACGATCACAGGCAAGCTAGAGCATGGTTTATTGTTCGACAGATAATACACAAGTATCAGGACCCACGGATGATCTACAGACTTTCAAACATCATTAACAACATACATCAAGAGTATGGAGTGGTCATGAGCTACCAGAAAGCCTGGAAGACCAAAAAATGTGCGTTGAAGGATTTAATAAGATCGGATGAGGAGAGCTATGCTAAATTGGCCATGTATTGCCATAACATGGGGAGAACTAATCCTGGCACGACATTTTTTATTGAGACGGGGAGCGATAATTGTTTTAAGTATTTATTCATGGCTCTCGGACAATGTATTCGGGATTTTCAAAATGCAATGCGACTCGTAATCCTAGTTGATGGTACAACTCTGCAAATTAATTATTGCTACATGTCAAGACGCCAACATCCAAATTCACCTTATTGCATTCTGCATAGTCGACAGGGAGAATGATCTGTCCATGCGTTAGTTCTTTTCGAAACTGAGGGAAGTGATCGGGGAAGTCGAAACCTTGCCTTTGTAACCGATCGGGGACAGTCTATATTAAACGGTATCGCTGAAGTTTTTCCAGAGGTACATCACGGGTATTGCATGTACCATATACAAGGTAATTTGAAAACTAGGTATCGGGGCAAAGGTATCGTTTCATTGTTCAGGAAAGCAACCGAAGCTTACAGTGCTGAAGAATGTAATAAGTTCATGTTTGAGATAGGAAGTAAATCATTACCGGCATTAGAGTATCTGACGGATATGGAGATCGAACATTGGGCGCGGCCATACTTTCCAGGACGTCGAATAACGCGGAGTCTCTCAATGCATTGTTTAAGAAGGATCCAGAGTTATCAATTCTCACAATGATGGAGAACATTCGTAACAAGCTGCAACAGTGGTTTCATGACCGATGTGCGGCATTACAGAGTTGCACTAGCGTGCTGGCCCCAGCTCAAGAGGAGAAACTCTTTCAGGCGGCAGAGGTTGTAAGGAAGTTGAATGTGAAAGCACTAGATGAGTTTCGCTTCTTCGTACAATGTGCACATAATACGGCATAAATGGTGGACTTGACTGATAATACATGCACTTGTATGAGATTTCAGTTGGAGAGTTTTCCATGTGAGCATGCAGTTGTGGTGGCCATGTATCGAGGCTTTGCATACTCTTGTATTATACGACTAAGTCTTGGAGAACAGCATATGCTGAGACTATATTTCCTCTGCCGAATGAAACCGAGTGGGAAGTTCCAGAGCACATTCTCCCGTTTCATGATTTGTTGCCATCAGCAGTTGAACCGCGTGGTCCTAGACGTCCAAGTACATCTAAAATACCATTTATCAGAGAGTTTCATCGACTGCGTAGGTGTGGCAGATGTAGAGCCATAGGGCATACTCGATAATTTTGTACCAGTCAAATTCTCCTAAATGACAATTGGACAGGTACATTCAATATTTGTCCTTCATAAATGTTCAATGTTCAATATTTATTCTTGATAAACGGTATTTACAATGATTCATATGAAAAAATTAGTTCCATTCTCATTATATGTGTAAAATAACAAAAAATCAACTTACAGAAAAATAATTATATACATTGAACATAAATTCACAATTATTTCATAATTAAAAAATAATTAAATTTACAATGTGAATGTTATATATATCGAACACAAATTTACAATTATTTCATAATCACAAAAAATAATTAAATTTACAATTCGAATAATACATATATTTAATACAAATTTATGGGTCACCATTAAATTCGAACAAATCACATGCTAGCTTCTTTCTCCAGTTCTGTATCTACAATTCGTTGATTTCATCAACTTTATGTCCTATACTTAAAAATTCAACGTATTTAATGGAAAATATGCCGCAGTCGCCGCTACAATTGAACAAGAATGGATCAATTCAGTACTGTGTAGTTAAAAAACTAAATCTGAAAGATGAAAACAACAAAGTTCAAACACTTACCTTACGGACTGTCGCGATGTCGTCGTGTTCCGAACAATCCGCAATCTGTTCTGTACAGTCATCCCCGCTTGTGTGGCCATCATAGGAACAATTACAGCTACGGACTCCAGGTTTTGCTCCAACTGGCCTTGCATCAAACATGAATGATCTGGGTCGTACACATATATAGTCGTGTCAGCAAAAACGATCTACAGCATAACATAATGCTTATTGATGCACGCTGGAATGTACATATGTGTACAACCCTCCCATGATTTCCCCCCGACACTTGACGACAATCCTACGACCCATTCAAGCATATATTTTGGCACCGTGTACTCGTTACCCATAAGTTGGAGCGACTAATACTGTATGGTCACGCAGGAACTTGGTGTTTAATAGGACTCGACCATGGACGTCAAATGATTTTGGATGTCTCTGACCACGATCTCGCAGCAAGTCCATGGTCAGGTCGATGTGCTGCATCAAAAAACACCAAAAAATTATGAGTTATTCATTTAATAAACACAAAGTGACGTATACATACAAAACATGAAATAAATAGTTCACTTACATCGTCGGCGAGCCAAGCTCCCGAAGTCGTAATATAGTGGTGCCACTTGTAAGCGTTCGAGACCGTCCAGTTACCTATCGTACGGGTAGCTCTGTTAAAATCATACAATACTTACCCCGGGGATAATTCTCCTCCACTCCGTCTTGAATGCTTTCCACTTGGCATTGTCCACCTTAAGTTCGGGTGCGTCCCATCGATGAACGTCCTCCTCTTAGCCTCAGTCGAGAAAGGGGAAACAATATACTGTGACGACACTCTCAACCTCTTGCCGACCACCTGCTCCGTCTCATCAACAACATGTTTCTTACCCTCAATCACGACAGGCGTCCTCTCGCCCTCCGGGACCACCTCCTCCGTCGCCACCTCATCTGTCCCTCTCATCGGGGTCACCTCCACCGTCGCCACCTCCTCCGCCCCCCATCAGTGCCTCCCCCTCTGTAGCCACCTCTTCCACCCCTCCCATCGGGACCTCCCCCTCCGTCGCCACCTCCTCTGTCCCTCCCATCGGCGCCTCCCTCGTCAGGGCCACCCTATCCCCCTCCATAGACAATCAGAATGACTCTAATATCTCATCATGCCAAAAATGTGGGTGACCCCCTCTCCATCACCATCTCCGC